CGCACCAAGGGTTTCTCTAACCCTCCTTGACATTTTATAATTGATATAGGGACCATTTTAATTACATTTTACAATTATTCTGAAGAAAGTAAATAAAATCTATTTTCAATTTCATTTTACTATTAATCTGAATAAAGTAAAGAAAATCTGATGGAAAATACAAGACATTATGTTACAGTTCATTTATAGTGTATGTGAATTTATAATAACTGTGGCTGAATGCATTCATTTCTTGGCATTGGTTTTATGTATGAGACAGTGTGTTAATGTCATCTTGCATGTCTTTGCATTGCTAGGAAACCCTTATAATTTTCATCAGTAAAAGATTGTCAATGGCCAAAAAAGTCTGGTTACTTTTCTGTTAACTGCAGGTCCTTTAAAAGTATCTTCATGGCACTACATGAGACATGCTGGGCAACTTGAAAATGAAAGGGCCATAAACCTCATCATATTAATGTTGTTAATGATAAAAGCAGTTGCATTGATGGTCATACTGCTGATAATGAGCAACAATGATAGTCAATAAAAAATGAAGTCATGGTATGATTAAGGATGATCTGCCACAGAATGTTAGCTTAAACAAAACCACATATATGGTTATCTTGATATTCTGACATTCTGCATGGTGGCCTAGTTAGATTGATAACTGGATTTACAATAAAAAAAATTACAGCATAGTTATATATATATATATTATATATTATATATATATATTATATATTATATATATATATATATATATATATATATATATATACTCAAATTATCTTATTTCTTTCCTGTTTTTCAAATGTAAAGCTTGCAGCTTATATTTCTTGTCAGTGGTCTTCTCCACAATGACAACAAGGCAGTAATTCAAGTCCCTTTAATCTGATGCAGATTCACATTCATTCTACAGAGAGATTTATCCTATGCTCGATTGGGTGCTCTGATAAATGATGCACTTTTTCAACCTAATACTTGTGCTACATCATCTTGAGACACGTGAAATGTTTCGAAAGATTTCATCATATTTCTCAAAGTTCTTAATCTTCTTTCTGCAAAATTCTTGGCAAGTCTATGGTCTTGACTGTTAATACAACACATTCACTGGGATTAAAAATAGCAATTAAAAAATACTGATGTCTCTACTGAAGTCAAAACACTCAAATTAGTACTGGTAGTAATGTAGAGATAATTCATTTAGTTCATCCATTCAAAGGCTGCTGTAATCTGCCACATAGGAGCAGCTCCTAAATCTAGAACAATTTCAAAACCCAACATCAAAACATCGTATCATATAAGGATGACCAGAAAGTAAGTCCTACAGCTTCACAAACACTATAAAAAATACACCTCAAATATATAAATTTATATCTTGTCTTCAATGAACAGTAATACTTATTTTCTCACCATTCATTGTCAGTTATAAATGCATAAGGAAATTAATTAGCATATTCATCTCTGGCATCATTTTTCTGATCTTATTTTGATCTACTAATACACACAAAGCAGTTTTGTACCATTTTACATAAAATTATCATACATTATTGCAAAGCTACAAGAGAAAACAGACAGCCCTCTTCAGTGGCAACTGAAAACTGCATTTCTTCTTGCTCTTTCTATAACAATGCAGGTAAATTCACTATGCCCACTTCCTGCAACAGCACACAAACATGACTGTGCTTACTCCTGCACATGCACAGGCACACATACACACACACACACACTCACAACAGGCACACATCAGAGCAGATATGCATGCACACATAACTGAGCAGGCTAAATGTGTGCTATGTCCATGTTTGCAATGTTCATAAGTGACAAATCTTCCAGCTCATTCCATAAGGGGCATACAGGTAAATTAAGTAATTAATTTCATCAACTACCAAGTACTACTTTAAAGATATTAGTTTCCATGCCAGTCCTTTGTATGAGTATGTGTATGTGTATGTGTATGTGCATAAGCATGTACGTGTTTGTGGTGGGTGTGGGCGTGATGTGCATAAATGTGGGTATGTATGTGTTCCAGGTATGGCTGTTATATTACTAAGACAGTCCTAATTAAAACTGCTACATAAAATAATTAGTTAACAATCCTGTATCTTTAATTTACGAATAAAGACCAGATATAGGAAGTACTGAGTACTTCTGATATACAAATATCACTTCACCTCAGAAACTTAATTGTGCTGAAACTGTAAAACTCAACAGTCAAATGTGTATCGGATCTTGAAATGGAAAATGTCCCCTCAATTTTCTGTAACCAGTCTTATAATCACAAAAAAATTACAAACTTCGAGACAAATAAAAATAAAGAAAACCAAATGGCAACGATTTTCACTGATAAGAGCATTGTACTTCCTTGATTCTAAGCCTGTGTAGTCAAAAGAATATCCAGCTTAGGGAATGATGAGATCCTCTTCATTTTCCTTCTGTTTCTTTCAAGCAATTTAACCTCCATTCTCAAATAAATGAAAGCTCTTTTAAATGGCTTGGGGAAAAGAGAAATAAGAAAAAA